ATTGTGGGGATTTGTATGCTATTTATGGTTTTCCAGAAGTGTCTTGGGTTTGATAGGTTGTTGTTCAAATTTTCACTGAAATATTGGGCCTTTGCCATTTTTGTTTGTTTTGTGCATGCATTTCGCCATTGTCTGTAAGTACAGTGATCGTTCATGGAGCCAAAACGCTTGAACTTTGACCACAATTAATCTCTAAACTGGTACAATGAATGAGGTCAGTTGTAACCCAGGGCAGGTGTGTTCCATTTAGTCACACTTTACACAGAGGGGCATGCAAATTCCAAACACGCAAGAGCTCGGATTAAAGAAATACAATTGCAGAGTCTAGATCTGGTATTAGACCTAATCTGTGCCATGGTATGTTCTTTAGATCATTTAAAAAGGATTCAAGATTACATTTTTTGAAAGACCTGATGATTATAATCTTGGGAGGAGATTTAGTGGCCTTTATTTTGCGTACAGTACACTATACCAGGGGTAGGCAACCTTTTAGCAGCACTGTGCCGACATAGGATTGTGATGTCCTGTAGCGTGCCGGTCCTATTTTTTTTAATTGAGGTGTGTCTGCTGCCATATTCTGCTTGTGTTATTTATACTGTAATTGCTTTGTATTGTTGTATTTGTGCGTATATGAGCTATTATATTGTATATGTTTACAAGTAGTTTGTGGTGTTGTGTATGATACCTATGAATGTGTGCTGTGTATGAGGGCTGCTTGTGGAATTGTGTGGATGGATATGTCACATTGTGTGTATGTGTGGGGTATTGCATGTGAGATTGTGTGCATGTATGTGGATTGTTAGCGGGTAACGTTTCTGCAGATTGTGTTTTGACGATTCAGACTCTAACACTCACATTTCTGAACGGATATTCTCTTTGAGCTGCTCAAGTGTGCTTGGTTTGTTCATGTACACCCGCTCCTTACGATATGTCTACAGAAATTAATCAGAAGCTGAAAGGTCATGGAAACATGGCAGTCAAGTAATCTGGGAATTTCTTGAAATGATATGCTCACCAAACAGTTGTCTCAGGAAGTCCATTGTGGCCCTTGCTTTATGGACAGTAGCCCAATTATGTTGAAACCACATTTTAGGACAATTTTCCACTATAGGAAGTAATAAAATGTCAATCATATTCCGATATCTTACAAAAAAAAAATTCCACTATTTACGGTGAATCTCTAAAGACTCGGTTATAATATGTTAACATTAATAGGTCTTCCCCTTGAAGCGGGGTGTCAATTTGGAGACAAGCATGCCAGGCTGACTGACAGGAACTAGGTCTGGCCCCAACATAGATGACCATGCAGAGAGTGCTCCTGATGTGCTTTCTGCCTGGTCCTGTGCCACAACACATGGCGAGCCCAACTTTTGACACCAGGCAACACAATCAGGACAAGACCCTAAGATAGAGACTGTCTGAACAAAACTGGGACAGTTGGGAGTCCTAAATCTCTATATAATCTGCCAAGCAATGGGCTCCATATTTTAGGAGGAGTGCTTCTCTTACATATTTTATTTTAATTAGGTGAGGGGCCATTGACTTGCATTCCAGTGTATGTTTGCTCTACTTGCGACTTGGTAAGTCTGCAGTCAGACCCTGTCCCCTATTTTACAGACAGCACATAAGCTTGCAATCTAGACGATTCTAACAGATCAGATGCCAGGGAACTGCTGCAAAGGAGAAAAAAGCAAAGATGTACATTTTTTTAATTTGTGTTTTTTTTTTTTAATAACTGTGCAATTATGTATGAGTGTTCTTTTCTGGTTTTGGTTGCTTTTTCAAAAAGGGGAAATATACATTGATGCAGTTATACATTCTTCAATTTATTTTGTAATGCATTTTTATACATTTTACGCCTCTGTCTTTGCCTCTCTGTGTGATGACACCTTGTAAGTAACATGACCTTGTCATTCATGTATTTGCCTCTGGCACTAACAACACAGAGCAGAAATCTTTGTATCCAATTAATTACATACAGATAGTATTTGCATAGAAACTACATTTGCTTTTATAGCCTCAAACCTTTTCTTAGATATATACTGCTGAAATGAAATTGAGTATATCAGTGCACATAGGCAAGAAACCTATGGATTTAATTTTTAGTATTAATGAAATAGAATTTCATCCTATGCTATGATTTCAAAATGTATTCCAGTAAAATTATGTTGTCCAGTCTTTCCAAATATCCAACGTGATGGGATCAACCTGGGGTCCTGTTAACAATTCGTCCCTCAACAACAGTTATATAAAGCAATGGAACACAAAATCCAATGGCTTTTTCCTTGGCTTCTGGCACTAGTTTCATCCTGGAGAGAAACACAATTATCTGCAAGTGCTCTTTTTTTTTTTTTTTTGTCTTTTGGGATCTCTGCATAAAAGTGCGCATTCCTTCTCCCATGTTCTACAGCAATATTTGCAAGTGAAAATTTGTGACTTCCTGTTAGCAACTGGGGGCGATAAGGGCAAGAGAGGGGCTTGAGCACACTTAGTACATTTTTTTATAGGGTCTGACAACTTCCTGCAATGTCTTGTATGGTACATAGAACTGGAACAATTGCATTCTACAGTATATATAGCATATGGTCCACGTACAGACATAGTTTTTTATATTCTAGTGCCATTTTTAGGAAGCTACATTTCTGAAACCATATTCAATTTCTATAAAAAAATACCATATTTGTTTGCTAGCTATTTTTTTCTCTCGAATAAATGTATATATTTTTTTCTCTATAGAAGAAAATGATATAAGGGGGTAAACAAAGAAGATATTGATAATTGTGGAGAATTGACAAAAAAAATGCAAATTCTAGACTGAAATAGAAAAGCTAGGAAAGTCAGCTAAGTTGAATGATGAAGTGTTTCAATTTGGCTATTTTGGTCTAAAATTTGCAAATCAGCATTCACATCACCATCTGATTAAAGCCAGCCTTAGGTCAACTGTCTTCCAAGTGCATTTATATTTAGATTTGTACAATTCGATTTAGTCAAATTGCGATTCTGCATATCGGATATATGGTCGTATACCCAAGAAAGCAACCAGCGCAATGGCACCTGTGGCACAAAAATTCAATTTTTCATGGTTGATAGGAGAACAAATGATGCGGAACTTGGCATCCACAGATTTAAGGCACCATACCCAATTAAAGTGGTTATGGTGCCAACAATTTCCATTTAATGATTTTTTTTAAAATAGTCTAGGTTTAAAAAAAATCATCCAGCCAACATCCAGTCAATGACCAACCATTAGAAAGAAAAACAGTGGTAAGTTCTCTACAATGGCTGGTCACTGACTGGATGTTGATTCCAATACCCAGCACTTTACTATTGTTATGCCTCCCCTATAGACATACCATATGTAAATACTGCACCATCATGATCTGCAGGATCCAGACAACTAAATCTAATTCCTTCTTACTATGTATCCTTTTCTGTAAATGATTCACAATAAGGACCATGTATGTCATAGTCTTGCTCTCTATTTCTCTCTTAATGTCACAGCACTCTATGCTATAATGCAATCCCATAATCATTTATTAAGAACTCCACGCTTTCATCTTTTAAAAACATTGCCTGCATACCCAGCGACAGTCCTGGTCTCCAGCTATTCACAAGTGCTTTCTAACTGAGCAGAAATGAATGGGTCAATATCCTTTTCTATTCTCTAGGGCATGGCTGTTGATTTGCTTAATTGACAGTCCCTTTAATTATCTTAATCCTAAACAAGCCAAGTGTGAACATTTAGGATATTTCAAGATCAGTAAATGTCACTTACAGCCACAGGAAACCTTTCCAATCTCCAGGTTGGAGATACTTAATGCCTTTTCACTATATATACCACAACAGCAGTTCCCTCGACTTGGACTTTGTCACTCTGTATTTCACTGGCAACAAGGCACTGTGTATTTCAAACAAGCTACATCCTCATAGCAAGATGATCAGTTTTTTTAACTCCTACAATCAACTTGGCCCTTCCTGTATTGAAAATGGTCAATTTATACCAGACACCTCTACGTTGATGTTTCCACTTCATGATAAAACAACATTGGAATGATTCCTCGATATACTAAAATTTCAAGTTCAACACTTCAAGAAAGCAACTACATAGTCACCAAGAGTCTATTAAAATTCAATAAACTTATTTTTTAGGAGTCCCAGAATAGCTTGCTTAGTACTGGTAAATTAACTATTTTAAGGTTTAAAGACATAACGTGGTTACTAGAATTTCAAAACAATCTTGTTGAGCTGCTAATACGTGGTCCCAATCATGTAGCTACTTGTATACTCTTAATACTCTTAATAAAATATTGGTTCATCTTCATTGAGTATACCCAATGGTATCTCTAAGGTTTAATATGAGACTAACTAACATTACAGCACTACTCTAAGACAGCTCTCTATTACGAGGCATAATTAATTTATTTATGTATTTAAGTATTATTGTTTAATTGGTGTGCCTGGGATCTGTCTAGATACACGCCCTCTGTATAAAACCTTTGTTCCACCATTAAAAGAACAGAGTAATGGGGTAGAGCTTAGCGCTCAAGTGGAATGGCTGCAACTTCTTGCAGCTCCCAACACTGAGTGAACGGATCTAATCTGAGGTCCCACGGTGCCGACCCAGAGTGAAATCACCTACTTCGATACCAATTAGGGGTGAGCGAAAAAGGCAGATGCCTTTCTTGCTCCCACAATCAAGTAGGAAACTCTGCAGGCGATCTGGGTGCCTACCTCACGTTCCACACTGAACGGGCTGCACTGGAAATCCCAGAACTGCCAGAGGTAACACAACAATAACCTCACCCTCAACATACGGCAACCCACAGACACTATGGGGAGAAGATCCCAAAAAACACAACCAGGTCCAAGATATAAGTGCCATGTTACAGTGCCCCACTGTCACAAAGAAGGCAACCCCTCCAACCTGTACTGGGAGTACGAACGGTTCTGAGTCACGAGCGGAGGACATGACAGGGATGTCCCCAACCTGGCCCTTACAGACGGCACCACCGGGAAGGCAAAACCAGACTCCAGCCACCAAGCGGATCTATTACATGAAATGAGACACCTCCATGCGGCAGATCTGGAAATGCTCACGACCGAAATTACTGTAGTAACGGCATGTACACAGGCCTCTGAGGAAGACATCCTAGACCTGAAGCAGGAGGTGCAGAGCTTGAGAGAAGCTTTCCAACAAATTCAATCCTCTCACACTTCCCTAACAATTAGTGCTGACCTGGCAGAGGACCGCCACAGATGCACAAACCTCAAGATTTAGGACATTCCAGGCACCGTTGACACCATAAAACTGCCTCACTACCTAAGTCACCTCACCACCTCCCTTATGCCGCACGCTCAAGCAAATAAGCTTACATTTGACGGCTAGTGATGTACCGAACGGTTCGCTGGCGAACGGTTCCTGGGGAACATAGCATGTTCGCGTTTTCCACGGCGGGCGAACATATGCGCGGTTCGACCCGCCCCCTATTCGTCATCATTGAGTAAACTTTGACCCTGTACCTCACAGTCAGCAGACACATTCCAGCCAATTAGCAGCACACCCTCCCTAGCAGACCCTCCCACCTCCTAGAAGGCATCCATTTTAGATTCATTCTCAAGCTGCATGCTTTAGTAAGAGGAGGGAAAGTGTAGCTGCTGTTCATTAGATAGGGAAAAGCATAGCTAGGTTAGGGTATGCTTTTTTTTTATTTTTTTTTATATGTAATGTAATTGCACTTAGTTGTCTGCCACTGCTGCCAGCTTAATTTCCCCAGTCAGTGCCACCACTTATATCTGGTGTCACAATAGCTTGGATTTAAAACAAAAAACTTTTTTCACTGTTATAGATTGAATAGCAGTCAGTTGTCTGCCACTGCTGCCAGCTTCTGTGTCAGGCTCACAGTGCATACTGTGCCCATTTCCACAGTCAGTGCCACCACTTACATCTGGTGTC